AGACAGGTTTTGGTTTTATTATTATTATTATTATTATTATTATTATTATTATTATTATTATTATTATTATTATTATAGTTTGTAGGTATTTTGTTTCCAGAGTAAAAGATGTCATTATAAACCAAGGGAGGAGCCTGGAGAAATAAATCTATAGAAGATGAAGCAGCAGAAACAAGCGCTTACCTAAACAGTTACTTAAGAGTAACCAACCACTCACCTAACCAGAGAACTAGTGCCAAGATGCCCCTGCATTATGGCATTTTCAAACGCATGCACTCATTCAGAGTGAAAAAGGGATGTTCTCTAACCTACGGAATAATAAATAGCCCTGTTAATAAAGGGAGAGAGGCTTTTAGTGATAGTTAAATAAAACATACCCAATATAATTAATAAAAACCACAGTGAGTTGGAGTAAAAAATGGGCTTCTTGGAGTCGGCAGCATTTTTGCCACTCAAGCCAGTGAGATCAGGATTTCACCCACCGAGACTAATGGGACAATTGTTCAGTATAAATCCCCGACCCAGCAATGCATTAAAATCCACGTATGTACAACTGCAAACTCGCGGGGTTCTGTCAGAGCTTATAGACCTGTTTCTTTCCCGTCCTGCATCCATCACTTACACCTGTGCAAAACAAACGTGAAGGGGGAAAAGCACCCGAGGCTCAGGCGTGCGTGGCCCACGCTTTCGGGTGTGGGGGGAGAAGGGGCGAGCCCCCCGCGCGTGGGACTTGCTCGGGTTACCCCAGCTCCGACGACCAGCCCTCAAACGGCCGCAGGAGCTGTTCATTCACAATTTTTGATAAGGAGATTCACAGTATAAACCAACATCAAACGGAAAATGCAGCGCACGAAAGACGTGGATTGTTAAAATATTTCACCAACAGAGTCTCCTCCTTTGCTGTTTGTTCTCGCTCTTTCGCCTTTCACTTAGCAGGGTAATTAAATCAGACGCTCAGGCTCGGTTTTAATTTCTGGTTCACGTGCCCTCAAACCATGCTGCCGCGGTTTGGACTCATAATCATGCGGGGGAATATTTGTACAAAAATGATATCAATACATTTTAATTCAAGACGGTCATGAAAGCCTGTTTACGCATCACGGTATGTTCTGTGAAACCCTCTGCCTGTTTATAAACTCTAAGCAGAAGCCATCAAACTCACTGACATAATTTCTTTGGCATTTTTCCTCTTAATTTTACTTTTTTATTTATATGCTTATTTGCTAAAATGGAAAGAACACCCCAAACACAGAGCAGATAAACAAGTGACTTTTGAATAGTCTGTGCTACAAAAAAGCACTTTTAATTTCTCACACTCAGCTTCTTTTGCTCCCGCGTATTTGTGGAGCTTGTAATTTTATAGGAAATTGTCAGATTAGAGGGTAGCTGTGTCTGTAGAATTACGGGTTATTAATACGGATCCATTTTTCAGAGCATTTCTTTACTTAAACATATAAATAAAGAAATGTGAAGCCATTCAGCCGCCGGCACCGAGGAATTCGCTGCTCGCCTGCACGACCCGCGTCCAGCAGCGCCCAGCTCTCGGTGAGCGGCGCGGTGGGAGCGAGGTGGGCAGCAGGCACCCATCTGCGACGGGATTCCCATGGAGATCCACGGGAATTACACGCGCCACAGTCGCGTCTGCTGAATTTAATTGAATTGCATTATCAACGGCAGAATTTGACCCATATACCGAGGACTGCATGCTGTCCAAAAATAGCTACAAGCTGGAGCTGAGCTTATCTTTCCAACACTTTGGCTAGCAAATGTAATTTCCCAGACCAACCTTTTTTCATTTCAGTCAGACTATTTCATTTTCAGATTTTCTTTTTGAATCAGTAACACAATTTGTCAGTGAAAAAAAGAGACAAAAGAAGAGAAAAAAAAATGGGGAGAAGCAGGAAAGAGCACACATAAAACCTATCCACTAAAACAAATTACATAACTGGAAATTTAGATTCTGTACATAAAAAACCCATGCTCCTTATAAATATTTATTAGTATTTTTTCTTCTGTGTTTTTATTTACTTGAGTATTTCTGATATTCCTAACCCAGCACTCATTCAAAAAGCACAATTGTTTTAAAGATCTAATCAACCCTTAATGGTTCTTACATCTACAAATATAATGAAATATCTGTCTGGATAGATGCACAGCGTAAAGATGCTTCCAGCGGATAAGAATGTTAAAGGCCACCCAGAGACAATTTAAAAACCAGAAGAAAACCTTTTTTTTTTTTTTTAATTATTATTATTTTAAGACGGAGCAAAAAATCTATTTATCATCCACACAAAAAAAATCTCCCCGTGCGCAGCCCCCCGCCGCAGGAACACCAGCACGCAGCCCCTCTGGAGAGGCACAGCACGACCACGCCAGGCAGCGTTTGCCGTCAGCATCGCTCCCGGCAGCTCCCCGCAGCACCTCGGCCTGCGCCTCGCCCCAAGCTCGGCAGGAGTCGGGGCAGGGGGGGGGATTCTCCAGCTCACGTTTACAGGCTGCGTCGTGCGACGCTTCTCGCGCCATAGAGAGACCTCTCAACAAAATCCCACTAGACCTGTCCTGCAAACTCCGGCTTCCTCGATTAGCAGAGCTGAGGGTTTCATTCCAAGCCACGTGAGATAGAGACCGTCAGCCTCTTTACAGGTTCAGATTCCGCAGGAAGCAAGCTTGTATTAAAACCAATCGGGGAAAAAAACCC